TGTCTGGTATATATATATAAATAATTAGCACTGGCAGACCACAGGACCATGTCTGGTATATATATATAAATAATTAGCACTGGTAGACCACAGAACCATGTCTGCTATATATATAAATAATTAACACTGGCAGACCATAGAACCATGTCTGGTATATATATAAATATATATAATGACATAAACACCCCAGAATACGACCTAAATGGTTGCAATTTCATATGAATGGATAATGTTTATCATCATTTTCTTAATATTATTTTATTGTATACATGTAGTGTTAGCTGCAGAGCCTGCATATTTAAGGATCATGATATGATTTGGAAATCTAGCTCTTCTAAGAGAATAGACATTCAAGATTCCTAATCTTTAGTGCTGTGACAACAAATGTTCTATCCCCTACTCATTAAACATGTTGAAAGCTTCCAGTCAGTAAAATTATCTTGACACTGAGCCAATGCAATGAGCTGTACACTACAATGTCAACTGAAATATTTCTGTTGTTTGTATTTAAAATGAGAGCAAGCCAACAAGAGAAGCTGTTCCCCCAAATCCCTACCAAGATGTACCCTTTAACATTTTCATCTATTATGGACCTACAAACTTGTTTATTCATTCAATTTTGACTTATATTGCAAAAAAAAAGAAATCTGTGATTATGGGTCCTTCAGAATACTGGCCAGTAACCAAACATGTAACCAGTGGTTCTGTAGATACAACCTAAAATCCTTTTTTTTGTCCTACCGCTAGATCAAAAACACACTGCTCAGATGGCTGAAGAGACTGATGAACCATTACATCAACAGCCTTTTTTTTCAATAACATCGCTAAGACTACTCCTATCAAAATTATACTTATAATTCAAATTGTAAATCCCACATGCATTACTTTGAATTTATTATAATCAAAACCAACCTGCCATTTATTTGCTCAACTCACCAAATAATTCAAATACTTTTGTAAAGAAGCAGCATCCTCCTCAAAATGTGCAACATCCAAAACCTTAAAATCATCAGTAAATTTATGATACTGCATGCTTCAAGAGTGGTATATTGAACTATTTATATTAATTACTGATATAGGTAGCATACTTTGATCACAAGTTCATAATAATGCACCTTATTTTGTAATACACCAAAGAAATGAATTCAACTTTCAAAATTTTGGCCAGTAGCAGAATCTTAACTGTATAATTAATTTGTTTTTCTAAATTTATATCAATCTGTGAATCATTAAGAGTTACAACACATATAAAAGTCTCCTACATTATTCCAAAACTACAAGACATTACTGGAAAATCCCAGTAATACACTAAAATGTTATATTTTTCTTGATAAACATATTTTGAAGATCAAACACTTGTTATTATTAGTTCATAAATAATGTTTATAAATGAACATTTTCCCAAATGACATAGCATGATAGAATTCTTTATGTAAATAATTTGAATAAAAACCCAGTAAATACTACTTCATTTGACGTATAAAAAGTTTTTAATTCAGTGTGACTTGGGCAGTCATGATTGGGGAACATATAGAATCACCAGTTTCATATCCTTACTATTAATGCTAGAATTAATTAGTGAAATGTGAATTTTGTCTTTTTTATTTTGTCCAATTATCCAAATTAAAAAGTACTAAGTTTTGAAATTAAATTATCATTTAAAGGTTAGTAATTAATTATTTTGGCTTTATAATATTTACATGTTATTGCTAATGTCTTGGACAATAGTAAAATGTTGAAATAATGTATGTTTGTTGTTATATCTTGTTTTTTGTCTTATCCACATTATTATTAATAAATGAATAACTTAACCTAAATTAACTTATTAAACTTTTAAAGTTAAGTTACATATGATACATTTATAAGCCTGTGCAATGCTATTATAACTGTGTACAACTGGTACTAATGAAAAATCACATTACTAAATAAACAACTACAAGTTACAGCAAAGTTATTATCACTGAGTACTGAATTACTGTGCAGACGACACAGTATGTTACTACCACTAATATATCTTACACATTTTACTTAGTCATTTTCAACCTGCTTTTAGTTTACTTTTATTATTCTTTACAATGTCTTTAGTTAAGGCAGAAGTCTTATAAAACTCTAAACTTATGACTATTAAGATACTTAACATTGAGGCAAAAACTTAAATCTTGTTAAGATAATAAATTATTTATTATTGCGTCCTATTCCTCATTCAGTCATTGAACTTATTCTAAATTCCAAGATTTCGCCATAGAACACTGAGGATATAAAATTAAAAGTTAAAACCTTTTCAAAATCTCAAAATTTGACATATCTTGTTCTCTTGTTTCTTTAATATTATTATTTACGCTTTCAAAATCCAAATATAATGTCACAGTAACTATAAATAAAGCGAACTTGGGCCTTGTGATTACATTTACTTGTTTTAAATACGTTTAGAAATGATCTCCACTCCCAACTTCAAACTCGATCAACCAATATTATACACTTCGATATAAATTTATGCGTCTACTGTAAATATTCAAATTATTTTAGCCCACTTATATTAGAATCAAATATGAAACGGAAGAAAATATAATCACTTTAAGTATATCGAAATATATTTTAAATAATAACAACAAACCGAAAGCCGTCGTTCATGTAATGTAATTAGGCTTACGCTTCCTGAAACTATTAACCCACCAATCGCCATGAAATGAAACAGTAACAGTAAATAATCTCGTTGGTAAGTCTTTAAAACCTATTTTTACTAATTTTATAAACTTTTGAAAATAAGCTAAAAATTTATAACTTTTATTCCTATTATTATTGTAAAATGGCTTCAAATAAAAATTTATAAATATATATATATATTTTTTTGAATAAATAAAATCAAGACATACACAGCAACGACATCTAGAATGAGTAAATAAAAGTACAACACAGCTCACTTTTAAATTATTCTGTGAGTCCAGCGACAAACGAAGTAAACGCTCTACGAAAGCTACAATGGTAAGTTCGCTATACTTACGTTACACTTAGTTTTATATATTGATAATTATACAGCACTCTTATATAGTTTACTATATGTAGTGTGTGAATTTGTTTTCCTAAAATGCCAATCTTTAAATCTAACTTTAGAGATTGCAAGTTTTGAGTAAATTTTAAATAGAGATGTTCTTATACTTGATAAAAAAAACATGCCCCTATTTTAGTTATAAAATATTCATGCACATATCTTTTTCTCCTTCAGGCAGATCTCAAGCCTGTAGAAATAGAAAGTGAGTAGTTTCATTTTACAGAAATTAACCTTTTTTTATTTCTTACTTTATGAAAATTTAACTTTTTAAAGAAGTGTTGAATGCTTTTGTAAATTTTTTGAAAACTTTTAAACGTTAACTAAATATAAAACTGAATATTTATACTTCGAGTGTTAAAATGTTTTTGAGTTTAAGCTATGTTTCCTTCACAGTTGTTCATTTTTTTGCAAGATTGTACCTCACCACGAATATTTTACTCGAGTTAGTAACAAAATTCCCTCAGAACAAATCTTCTTTCATCATTAGGTAATAATTTTGCAAGATTAATTTATCGTACACATACACACATATATGATTGTATGTGATAAACAGTAAAGTTCCACAGTATATTCTTCTTGAATCTCGGGATACAGTCGGTAATCATAGACTTTTTTTTTAGTTACAAGTAGTATAGTCGATGTATTTGTTTTCTTATTACAAAGCTACAAAATGTGCCATCTGTACTATCTTCTCCGCGGAGAATTGAACCCCGAAATCTAAGGTTATAAGTCAGCAAGCTTCCCTCTGACCTACCAAAGGGCAGTATAATTGAATTAAGTTATTTGCGTGTAGCGTTGTGATGTAAAACGTTGAATATTAAGTTATTTGCGTGTAGCATTGTAATGTAAAACGTAGAATATTGTTTAGAAAACTTACAACTCGTTCTTTCAAAGTATTTTTATCATTATCATATTTATGTGACTAATAACTGGTGCATGTATAAAAGTTTAACTCAATTTATAAGTGCTCAAGTTAGGTAAGGCACGATTGCTTACAGTGATTATTATTTGGCACATAAAATACGTTAATAATTCTGATACAAGAAAATATAGCTTTAAGTATAACACCATTCAAAAGCAAAACGCAATGTTCCGACATTATGTCCCCAAAATAAAAAAATATTTACTTAACCAATTAAATTAGGTGATTTCTATTTAAAGAGAAACTTTTCTAAAAATATTTTTTCTTGTTGGAAATTTTTGCTGCTTTCAGTTTTATTACGTAATTTAATATTTTATGTTTATTAAAAAAAACAACAGATTCATCTAGCAATCGCCCATTGAGTGCTCTGATATGCTCGACGTGTAAGTTAAAACTACTGAAGAATAACAAATATATAGATATAATCAGGGGCTCTTCCAGGATTTTCAAAAGAGAGGGATCCAAATGAATAGATACCAGAGAGTCAAGGGGTGGGTGGGTCTTGTACCCTCTAAGAAGCTTAAGACTTTTGGGAATTTGAAATTTCTCCATGTCCAGTTTTTGACACTTTTCATTAATTTTTACCGGTCACTCTCATTGACAAATTAGTAATAGAGGAGATTTTCTTCATTTATGGAGCTGACTGTGAGAATAAGGATCTTGAAGTGACCCCCGAAATCAAGCACTGTTTACTGATGGGCTAGAGAGGAGGGGTAATTTTTTAAGTTATATTAAATCCATCATCACATTTTAGAAGAAAGAATTCTTTACGGCTCTCTTCATTTTACAAACGGTCCAGACCCCAATTCAATACGAAATGCAAGAATGATCGATCCCAGAAAACAACTAAATATGTTATTTTTACCACTTCCACCTCTGTTCTTCTCTTTATTTCTATGTAATGTTTTACTGCTTTCTTCTATTTCCTTTTTTTTTCCATTGGAAAAGGTTTCCTGACCCCTTGGACCCCCTACCCTGTGTCCGCCCCTGAATTATAACAAAAGGTGTCATTTAATCCCAACCAGAGCACTTCAAAACAGGTATTCTGGATTTTTTTCTGCGTGCTGCAACTGAACTATTAAACCGACTGAAATGTTGGCGGCCTGGCTGAAAACATGCATGCCAGTCTTTAGGCAGAAGATACTTTACTCTTTTTTACAAAGCTTGCAGTCAGCTAAACCTTGTGATGAAAATAGACCATTCTCAGTAACTCTACTACTAAAATACCTAACGACAGGAAGTAGTGTAGAGTTGCCTTAGTCTTTGTTCGTCTGTTTAGAATGTACGGTAAAGCTAAACAAAAGTGACCTGCGCATAGCCGCCTCTAATTTTAAACTGATAAACTAGAAGGTAGTTAAATCAATAGCATCCACAGCCAAATAGTGAGATTTGAAAAGTCATTCTTTATTGCCAACAGCCCTTAAATGCGGAGCGAATGTTTGAAGCAACAGGACGTAGACCGTAACTAAGAATCATCAGCTTCACAGTTCGAGTAAAAGGAACTTAGTTTGTGTGTAACAGTAAACCTTAGTTTTCAAATGCATAAATTAAACTGTGATTTATTATATCATATGGCCCCCGGTTGGTCAATGGTGAGTTTTAGGACTTTCAACGCTAAAATTGGAGTTTCGATTACCTGCGATGGACAGAGCATGAATAGCCTACTGTGTAACTTTTCATTAAAAAACAAAAATAAGTCTGTAGGGTTGTTGCTGAAATTTTACAGTTAATACAAATCATAGCGTTTAACTGAGCATGTAGAATAATACATATCTTCGAGTTCTCCTTTCAGGGTTAATAAGTGACTGTAAAATGAGTTTCATTATGTCCAATTACTTTGATTTTTCATGGTGATTAAAAGCACTAAAAATAAAATATGTTTGCGTACCATATTCTTTAGAATGAAGATCCGATTTCTAAAAAAGGTAAAAAATTTACAATTTACAGATTCTATTTCACTTACATCTTTTACCATTTTCTACCTTTCACGCTACTTTATTTTCAAATTATCTTGTCTGTGTTAACACTTTGTTAGTACACGCTATATACGTTTATGAATTTTTAAAAAAGATTAGATTGAATATTCACATATGTCGAAATTCCCTACGTCTTTTTTTTTTTTTTTGACTGGGTGCTGTGTAAATAAAGTATGGAAAGCTTATTAAAATAATTTAAAACGTTTATTGAACGAATTGTTTAAGTCACACAAATTTGGAAAAAATATACTTTCAAATTTCGGTTTACCCTGTATATTGTTTTTAAGTTCTTATGGGCAAAAAATGAAGAAAAAGTATGCTTCAAATAAACTGGCGACAAAAGTGTACAGTAAAGTAAACGTAACTTGGCTAGTGAGCAAAGTTATCTATTAATAGCGATTAACTGTTGAAATAAAATCCAGCATTCTAGGGCACGTGCCTGGGCAAATTCTGATTTCTTTTACGTTATTTGGCAAAACAAATAGACTAAATTCGACAAAACGATAGTTGCTACAACTTTCTTGCCTGGTTTATTTATCGTTCACTCTCGAATATCTTCGAAGTTTGACTTTTTCGCCTCTTTCTCTATAAATAGCCTCTAAGATCTAATTATCCGTTCCGTCTCCTTCTTTGGTGTTATCGTATGGCTCATAGTTTCTGTTTTCGTACTTGGAAGGTATTTAGCTGGATCCTATTCTGTTTATGTTGCGTGTACACTTATTCCGTTAGCTAACATGGTAAAGAACCCTATGATGTTCACTGATTTTGAGACTAGGCTTAAGAACAACGTTGTGCAAAATATAACGATCGGTATTATGTTAATAAAAGCGTTCGGGTATCAGTCTTGTCTTTTGTTGGCGAGAAACAAAAAACAACAACAACTAAGTTTTAAAATTATATCTGATTTTATTTTATGACCTACCAAAATATAAACATATAGAGTAACACGTATTTGACTGACGTGCATGTACAAATAGACATATTAAATGTTTGAATATTCCCGCGAAACAATATTTCTAACACTGATTTAATTGCTAGTTTGCTCACCAATCAAAGAATATTTGCAGACACGCCAAGTTTCATACATTGACCACAAGTCTCACCAAATTTGATCCCATGTTACGCCCTCACGGCCAAAAGTGCAAGTCTCAATCATTTTATGTTAATTTAGTCTAAACTTTAATTATTTTAGTCTTGTGGTCAGAGAAAAGATTTCCTAAACGATTCTCCTTCGTTGCTTGTGCAACAGAGGTTATATAAAAACTACATAATTGTGCACTTAGAACTTCTTTTTATAATTCTATTGTTACGTAAATTGTACGTCATATCATCCTGTTTTTTTTGTTGTTTTTTTTTCGACGCAATGTTTTTTGCTTCTTTTTGTGTGTCCTGCTATTACTGTCCCTTATTACACCTTCATGCAGATCTAGGTCAAATTTGTAACAAAAGAAGCTAGACGGAAAAAAGAGAATCCGGTTCTTTGCTAAGACATTCAGCTAATAAAAACCCGGAGCTAGCAGTTCCAAAACAAAAAACAGGGATTGTTTCTTCAATATCATTCCCTGAGATCTGTGGATGTATACTGACGCTACTTTATATCACAATGTGGATGTATACTGACGCTACTTTATATCACAATGTGGATGTATACTGACGCTACTTTATATCACAATGTGGATGTATACTGACGCTACTTTATATCACAATGTGGATGTATACTGACGCTACTTTATATCACAATGTGGATGTCTACTGACGCTACTTTATATCACAATGTGGATGTATACTGACGCTACTTTATATCACAATGTGGATGTATACTGACGCTACTTT